TTAGTTTGGAGATTAGATGATTCACCTTCATCTTTTTTCCTTTTAGGGACATATTGGAGCGCATGACTTACTTTCTTGCCATAAGACACAATATTCCCTCTATAAGATTTATTCGCGTTGGGTTGTACCTCCTCAGTAAAAGCTTTGGCTTTACCAGTAGTCACCTCTTCTATTTTAGTTATGGGCTCATTATTCTTGCTTTTCATGCCATCATCAGCTTTTAGCTCCTTCACAATGCGGTTCTTCAAGTAGAACTTTGTATCGGCGAAGTATGACTCAGCCTCGGTGAATGGCTCATCATCAGCAACTATCTTCTTCTCGGTTTCATCCTTGTAGTATTTTAAACATTGATTGTAGGTAGATGGAACTACTTTATTCTCATGTATCCAAGGCCTTCCATGCAAGACGTTGTATGAAGTCTTTGCATCGATCATATGTAGCCATGCACTTAATTGCATATCTTCAATGGTGATTTCTAGCCCGATCACGCCTATGGCTCTTTGCCTCCCTTGGTTGAATCCTTGGATCATTACACGACTTTCTGAGAGTTCGTTCATGGGAATACCAAGTTCTTTCACAGTGCGAATTGGAAAAATGTTCACTGAGGATCCTCCATCAACAAAAATTCGATTTACCCTTTCATCACGCATATAGCCAGCCAGGTACAATGAGCGGTTATGAAGAGTGTCACCAAGCAGAAGATCGTCATTTGTGAACGTGACTTTTTCCTCACAAGAATTAACTTCTTGAGGAGTGGACTCAATGGGATTTTCCGAATATGGTGCCAACGGTAGGTCATCACTCTTTTCTTCCCCTTTGTTAGCATGGCAACAAGAGGCATCGATACTCTCATGGGAAATCTTCATGTGGAAGTAACTTGGTAAAAACTCCTCCAAGGTCACTGGATTTTGTGGATTTTGAGAGTGGTGCACCTCCATTTTTCCTCTCTTTAATCACTTAACTAGATTCCATCTCCTTGGTCCTTTTACCATCATTTTCCTTATTGGTTGTTCTACTGATTCTTTTCGTGGGATCCTTCTGTGGCACCTACGATGAGTCACCAACGTCCAACCTTCATCATCATCAGGTTGATTGACTTCAGCTTTGTCGTTTTCCAGTAATTCTTCATCTTTACTTTCTTTAAAACCACATAATTCATTCGGACTGAATGAGCCAAAGGTGATAGAGACTTGGTTTGCGCTTGCTTTCTCATCTTCAAGCACGATTCTTTTCGCGAGCCAAGTCCATAACTTTGTCCTTGAACACAAAGCACTTCTCCAGAGGGTGGCTCACAAGTCGATGGTATTTGCAGTAATTTGGGTCATTTGTTTTCCCAGCTTGATTTGGTCGCTTCATCTACGGAAGCTCAATGAGATTTAACTCGAGGTGTTCTTCAAAAATAGCTGGCACATCAGAATCCAGAAATGTACTATTTCTCTTGCATTTCTTTTAGAGTCAACTTTCCACTTAGCTTATCTTGAAAAGAAGTGAATTTTATACTCTGCTTCTTGCTCACCTTCTTTGTGAACTTCACAGGTGATGTGTTGACATTCATAGCTTCTTTGTATTCGGACTTCTTGCTTGTCGTTCCCTTTGAAAGGCTCATAGACATGCAACCTTTCATTTCCAGCAGAGGACATGCTCAACTCCATTTCATGGGCACAGTTCGCAAGTTCTCCAAATGTGCCAGGCTTGATACCTTGCAAGATGTAGAGTAGTCCCCAATGCATACCTTGGATGCATATCTTTATGACCAAAGCTTCACTAAGCATGTCTTTTCAGTTAAGGTTTGCATTCCTCCAACGATTGATAAAGTCAATAACTAGTTCACCCTTTCATTGACGAGTATTTGTAAGTTCTATCATACTCACAGTACGTTTTGTGCTATAAAAGCGATTGAGGAATTCTTGCTCTAGTTGATCCCAGCTATCAACAGACCAGCCTCTAGGTCCATATACCAATCAAAAGCATTTCCTTTTAATGAGCGGCCAAACTTCTTGACGAGGTAATCTCCATAAGTCCCAACATTGTTTCATGTCTCAACGAAGTGTGCCACATGTTGTTTAGGATTTCCTTTTCCATCAAACTGTTAAAATTTTGGAGGTTGATAGCCAGTAAACATCTTCAACATATCGACCTTGAAGTGTACATCTTTGCGTAGGTAAAGGAGGACTTGGAAGCAACTTTATATTTGTTTTTTATAGTCCATTCAATGAACTTCTTTAGTTGATTGATTGGAATCATCCCTTCCGAAGAGACTAGAATTTCCATAGTGGATGCAACTTGTCATGGGGGAGGATCAATTTCTTGAACTTCTAGGAGTTTGGCAGGTGCATGGGTGGATTCTTCTTCCATCAAGATTGCCACCCTGTAAGTTAGCTTGTCAATTTTAGCATCTTGATTTTGCATGCATTTGGTCAAGCCAGCAATTGCTTCCGTCAAGTTTTCCAACTACTCTTCCATAGATGAAGTGTTTGTCACTATGGCTTGCATGATCGTTGTAGATGATGGGGAGTAGCATGGATTGTCACACAGATTGATTCTCGAATGGCTCATTCTATGTAAGTGGAGAGGATCCATCACTTGAAGCATCATCATCTCCCTTCATAGTTGAGTTCTTGGATCCAGAGAGGTCAAGCAGAGTAAGAATTTTCTTAATCTTTTCAGCAACATCACTTCCTCCTTCAGGTGCTTTTGTAGAAGAACTTGCTCATTTTAAGGATGAAGATCCGAAAACAGGGGTTGATGCTGACGACACTTGGTGTGCTTGTTGTCCTAACGAGCTTGCTTTGCTCCTCATAATTGGTCCAAAGCTTCCAAAGGTAACATCGAGGATGCTTTCCACATCAACATAGAACCTGGAATTAGCAGCCTTGGTGGAAGTTGATCTGGAGTTGATTTTCTTTGAAGCCATTTCGTTGTTCTTGAACTTTGGTGATTGAAAAGTTGAGATGAGAGATAGAGATTGTCCCACTGGGCGTGCCAGAATTTGTAGACAATAAATTGCGTTAAGAAAATAAAATCAAGACTGAAAAATATTGCAACAATCATAATATTTCATTTCAAATATTTGAGTGTTACAATCTCTATGAATCCTCTGATTCTTCTTTTCAACAGTAAATAAAAGAGCTTTTTGAGCTTAATATTGAATTTATTTTATTTTAATCTAAGTGCTTGAGGACTGATCTTGATCTTGACGTGTTTTTAATCCAAGGGCTTGTAGCTTGTTCTTGAATCTTCGTCTTGATCTTTTAATCCTTAGAACACTGGAATGCTTGTAGCTTTTAGAAAAATCTGTAGCGTTTGATCTACGAGCTCTCTCTTGCTTCTTGTTATAACTTCTAGTGTCTTTTCTGGGTTATGAAGACCCCTATTTATTGTTGTGGAAGTGAGGAGTTATGATAAGAACAAACTCTTTCCAACCAATCAAATTGAAGTGTGACATGGCGACATTTGATTGGCCAAAACATGTCACATTTCATTGGCCAAAACATAATTTCATTGGCTTTTAGTGTGACTTGGCATGCCTTGTCATTTTGACATGTGGCATGATCCTATTGGCTCTTCTGTTTGATTTGGCGTGCCACGTCATTTGATACGTGGCACCGAACTGGGCCTCTAGGAAGATGACATCTTGAGCTTAATGAAGTGGGCTCATCACTTTAGCCCAATTAAATGGGCTAGCCCAATAGATTAAAATTTATTTATTTAGTCCATATATATTGGACTTATATAATTAGTTCAATTATATTAGCCTATAATATTTATTTGGACCAATATATTTTGAATTTAAAATATAATCCAAATTATTTTATGAATTTAATTTTAATAAAATTTATATGCCTACAAAATATATTCAAGGATCAACTGTCTAGGCCACACGGTGGGCGCCAAACCATTTACCTGTAAAACGATACAATTGAATTTATAGCGTGGTTTATAGACAAACGAATCGATTTGATAAAAAATGGTAAATAAATCAAATAAAATGCAAGCCCTAGCATAGAAATCAAGATAAATAGCAGATAGCTTGATTCCAGAAGCAAGGCTTCCGAAGACAGCAATGAGAATATCGCTAAACAGAAAATAAAGTATTAGTTAGCTTGGAATAATGTGTAGTTAAGTTTGTTAGAATTTTCCTGTCCTACAATGGCGGATGAAGTCACTATTTATAGCTAAACCTTGGGAACAAGGTCCTAGGATCAAGCATCTCTTAAATGACAATACTGGGGGTCATTGATGAATATGTAACGGCATGTAATGAATGCCAAATTCTTTGTAATGGACATGTATTCAATACTGAGGAATATTATTCATTGAATGTCATCTGTGACAAATATTCATTTTGCCCACATTAACAATGTTCCCTTCGGGGTCTACTCGATGTCAACCGCACATTAACAATGTTCCCTTCGGGGTCTACTCGATGTCAACCGAATCTATTGTCCTCGGTCTTGATTTTCACTCGCTTCGTCTTCCGTCTTTTTCCGGTTCCACGTGTCATTCTGTCATTCGAGTATTTAATGTGAACCGATTTTATCTTATACAGAGGGATAAAGGGTAAATAATTCCAAAATTAAATTTGAAATGAGTTTATTCCACATTTGATTGGGATAAAATTATTGGTATAACTAATTCCGAAATTGTAATATTTTCTAATCCCATGGAAGGGTACAGCTTCAGTCATTATTGTTTAATTTCAAGCTGGAAGTGTTTGATATTTTTAACTCTTTAGTTAAAGAAAGGGGTCGACTAGTAAATAGTAAAACTCATGTGCAGTCAGTTGAAAAGTAGTTAGATTAACAGGTGATATTTATTTCAAAGGAAACAAAATAGATTATTTTGACTTTGTATTGCTCAATATGACAGAAATGAAGATCCATCTTCCTCGCTGTCTACATATTCTTCTCTAAGTTCTTGTTTAAATTGAGTGAAATGCATTTGCAAGTGCTAAATATAAATAGAACTTAACAATTAACATAACCACAACCAGAAAATTACAACTTGAACTTTTGAAAGTAGTATTCGTGAAAAAATATAAATAGAACTTAACAATTAGAAGATCAATATATCCAACAAACAAAAAGAAACCGATCAAATATGATAGAACTTCCCAATTATGACTGCATTTACATTATTTTCATCACTTTTCACTACTGTCTAGGGACAAAAGACCAAGCATATATAAATCACGCCCCATAATTTATTACGATTACAAAGCACAAAGTATCTCGTATTCACGCCACGCAGCAAGATGCGTTACAGCTCCTCTTTAACGGAAGCAGAAGAGTTTTTTCCTTCTTCTTTGGTCTCAATGGCGACAACTTTAGGACCCTTAATTTTGTCAGGAGACAACTTAGCAAAAGAAATAGTTAACACACCATTTTCAAGCTTAGCTTTAAGAGTATCAATATCAGCATTTTCAGGCAGACGAAACTGCCTCAAGAATTTTCCATAGCTCCTTTCAACACAATGCCAATGAATATGATCATCTTTGTTTTCTTCTTCTTTTTTCCTCTCTCCACTCACTCTCAACACCCTATTTTCCTCCATCTCTATCTTTATCTCTTCTTTCTTTAAACCTGGAACGTCTACTGTTACCACGTGTCCCTCTGGCGTTTCTTTCCAGTCTACTTTTGCAACGGAGAGAGTCTCGTCTCTGGTTTCTAGTCCTAAGGGTATTTGTTCTAACATTCTGAATGGATCAAGAAATGTTTCACTTAGTAGACTACTGGGAGTATTGGCCATTTGGTCCAAGAATAATGGTAGAATTGATGATCCTTCTGACACTGATGCCATTTGCAATATGCAGCCAACTGAAAAGATAAAAAATGGAATGTTTTTGTTGAGCCTCATCCTAGCAAGCTTTGACGATCTTCTTCTTTTTCTTTATCTTTTGTGTTTGGTTGACTAGTGTTCTGGGAAGAGCTAAGGGGTTTAATGGTGCAATATATATAGAGAGAGGGGTACAGTTTTAAGAATCTTGAAAGTTCTGAAAATGTTGAGAGAGTTCTTTGTGCAAGAAACTTCCAGCAACTTTCAGGAAATTAAAAGTGGACATATCTTTGATCTTTCGAGAGGCTTCTTGAGTAACAACAACAACAACAACAACCCAGTATAATCCCACTTATTGGGGTCTGGGGAGGGTAATGTGTACGCAGACCTTACCCCTAACCTGGGGTAGAGAGGCTGTTTCCAAATAGACTCCCGGCATCCTTCCCTCCAAGAACTTCCCACCTTGCTCTTGAGAAACTTGAACTCACAACCTCTTGGTTGGAAGTGGAGGTTGCTTACCGTCAGAGCAAGCCCTCTTGTCTCAAGAGGCTTCTTGAGCGTCTACTAAAAAGGTTCCTGCTGAGTAGAATTTTAGGCATAATACATCAACATGCCCTCGAACTTGGCCTTAACCGGCAAATATGCCCTTCAATTTTGGATGTGCAAAAATAAGTACCTCAACTTATATAAAGTTGAACAAGTAAACACAAATATTGACGTGACACGTAAATTTTAGAGGTGTTTAAATAATCATTTTATAAGTTGGAGTGTTCAACTGATAATGTGGAGACAAATTGAGGTTTCTACTTGTGCACACCCAAAATTAAAAGGCATACTTGTCAGTTGAGGTCAAGTTTGAGTGCCCGTTAATGTATTATGCCAGAATTTTATGACTAAGAATCGAAAAACAAAGACGCACTCAAGTTGCATTTTAATCAAGTTTGAATGCCTGTTTAATCCGGGTTAGAAGCGACGCATGCGCCCGCCGTCCGCTTGCTGACCCGCAGTAGGAGCCTTTTGCCCCCAAGGGCACGTATCGTTGGCTAAGTCATCGCGGCGGAAGAGCCGCGATGGCCTCCTTAAAGTACAATTTCCATCGAGCGGTAGGTAGAATTCTTTGCAGATAATTTAAATACGCGACAGAGTATTGTAAGTGACAGAGTAGCCTTGCTGTCACGATCCACTGAGATTCAGTCCTTTGTCGCTCCAATTCGTAAAAAAAAAATGATTGATATTCCTAGTAAATGTGTTGGTCTCTCCCTTCACAAAGATTTTACAGATTAGAAGTACTACTTACTAGAGATATATTGTGCACAGAGGCCCTCAAGACTCTATTTCAAAGTTTGGACCCCTTTTTATTTTTTATTTATGTTTTGCATTTAAATTTGATCGGGAACTATTTTGAATTTTTTAAAACTTTTTATTCTAACTTAATTTTTTTAAATATATTTTTCTTGTTTTATTTTGTAATTTTTTTTCTTTCACTTTTATAAAACGCATTTATGAAAATTTTCTGTATAATAATCTTAGATTTTCTTACTGGATTATTTTCATGTATAAAATAGCAAGTGGCTTAGTATTACTTTGATTTTTATACCAATTTGTTCTCCTAAAGTTATGTCTTTGAAATATTTAATTCTAAGCTTAAATATATTCTAATTAAAAAAATAAAACTGAAAATATGAAAAGTATATTTTAAATGGATTTACTTCAATAATTCTAATTTCAGTTAGAGGTATCCCGAAAATACCTTTTAATTAAATCCCATCATATCTTACATCTTCAGGTTGAGTATGTCGAAATCCCATTGAATACAGTTTAACAAAATAAAAGAAAAGTTTACAAACCTTTTAAAAGGCTTTGATTTTGTGGTTCAGATCACCTCCAGTGTTTGACTCTCCAATTTTGAAAAGATTGACGACAATACGTATATTAAGATTATGAAAAATAATTAAATGACTATTACATATTAGAAAAATAATTATTGATTATTTTATATAGAGTGAATTCTATTTTTAAACGACAAAAAAGGCAAATGACATTTCGATAAGGATCTATGTGCATTTAATATAAAATAGTTTTAAGGTGCGCGTTTTACTTGTGTATCTATATCAATGAGTATATTAAAATAAATAAAATAAATATACGATAATGTGTTTGAGTTGTGAAATAAAGATTAGAGAAAACGTGTAATCTCTTGAAAATGATCAGTGTTAATCATATTTAGCTAGATCAAACAAAGGAAGAACAATGCTTCACTATATCTAGATGTGCATTACTGACAGAATAACAACTTTTTAGGAACTAAAAAGTTAATTAAAGAAATTATATAAAGAACTTTAAAAGATGATTACAATGTTTATATTGATTCAAATAACTAAGATTCATAAAATATTATTATTATTATAATTATTATTATTATTATTATTATTATATATACTATTATAAAATTATATCCTTCGTAATTGTATCACATGTTGAGATAAAATTGTAATTACAACTATCTATTTCTTTGTGATTTATATTAAGTTTAGGGATATTAACTAGATCGTTTGCTAAAAGGTTAGTCCAAAAAATATTCCATCATGGTTGTACAGTGCCACTAACATATACTAGTCATTTTTTGTTATTAATTATTATATATGAAACTATATCTATCATTATATTATCCTTTTGTGAGTAAATTTTTTATTTGTAGAATGAATATATTTGATTTGAGAATTTATAAAAAATAGAATTTTAGATCACCCATGCTTGGTCCTTAACAAGATTAAGGACCAGATCTTCTTGCACTTAAAGCGTTTTAGGCCCAGTAAACTCGTCACTAAATGTTTAAAAGCACTAAATACACGGCATTGATTTGTAGTAAAGAATATATTTCTAGTCCCTAAAATTATTTAAGGACCACATTCCAACTAATTGTTAATACAAACGGTTGCACACGACTAACAGAGGGCCGTGATATCCACACTCAACTGGATATCACGGTGCGAATCTCACCCGATATCGATAGTGTATCGGGGATTGACGGACAGGGAGGATTTTTACCTTTTTTAGAATTGTACTAAGGGTAAAACTCTCCTACTATATAAAAGGAAATTTTTTATTCAATAGACTCATTGTAACACGCATATCAAGAAAATACAAACTTATTTCTATGCTTTCTAGCTATTGAAAGGTTCTTATATTAATCATAGTTCTCCATACACGTTTGGCTTCGAATCGAGGGTTCGGTCGAGGGCAAATCTATTGTTCAAATCCGAGCACGGGCTCAACGTCACAACTGGTTTGGCTATTTATTTTATCTTAAATTCGTTTATCTAACATTCTTATTACTTGTGTTGAATCAGTTCACATATCCTTAAAACCGCGTATAAATTTAATTGTTATCCGTTTTAAGGGTAAACAGTTTAGCACCCACCGTAGGGCTAAGAATAATAGTGGTTGTTTGATACAAATCTCCAAAACATGCTCTATTTTACACTTGTTCTTTAAGGTTTCAATTTCTAGTCTGCCACACCCCTTTTTTCACCAAACTAACCATCTTAAAAATAATAAAAGGATTTGCAAAGCTCAAAAAGGGAGGATTATTAATTAAAAAGTGACAAAATTGTGTTCAAAAGGATTTTTAAGAGTCGCTACCTGATATTTGTTTCGGTGTGCCAGGTCACCATTTTTAAAAAAATAATTTTTCCTTTTAAAACACATTGGACTCCATAACTAAGTCTGCACCAGATATTCGGATAAGGGGGTTCATTTGACTCGGGGAGAAGGTGTTAGGCACTCCCTAAGTCCCATGAAGGTCACGGTTGCATACATGATCTAGTTGGCTTTTAAAATATTCAAATTGAGGTAAAAATAAATACGAAAAAATAAATACACATTAGGGCTCGAGGTCGTCCCCACCTAATAAAGAAAAAATAAAAATAAAATAAAAATACTACAAGTTTTACTTTCGGCCTCTAAATACAAATACTACGGGGAATACCCCGGATAAATATATACAAGGTCTACGGGGCATTCGCTTGGATATAAACTAAAAGGGAACGACCTCTCACCTCAGATCAAACAAAAATCCTAAAGATTGCCTACCCAAATGTTGACGGCCTAAGCATGCTACGAGCGATTAATATAACAAGGCAAAATTAAAAAAAATTAAAGCATGTAACAATTTAATTATGTTTGGCCTTTCGCCATTCCACGGCATAGGACTTTTCGAACATCCAAGTAACCATCTAACCTACTCAACTTTGTTAACTTAATTTTCTATCACTATATTATCAATCCTAAAGCCTCGAAACCTTTATCTTTTAATGACGCATTGCAAACGGAACTCCAAATTTACTTTAGCTATTAAGAATTCATCCGAATATAAAATTACATGAAAGAAACACACAAACAATAATTAAAAGAACTAGAAAAAAAAAGCAAATCAAATTCTACCAAGGCGTCACGAGCAAAAACGAAACACTAATTCAAAGATCAACAAAACAGATCAAAGAAAGATTAACAAGTTTACTAGAAGCATGAAATTTAGCTAAATAGTAAAAGAGAGGGAGGAATAGACCTTGAACAGATCTGGAATTCGACGGTTTGACAGTTTGACAATGCTAAGCAACGGAACGAACTGGACCGCGGACAAGATCTAAACCGGAAAACCTAGCCAGAAACCTCATCGAACCCTGACCATACTATCTCGCTACCTCCCTGTTCTGTTATGTCTATGCGTGCGTATATCTTTTTTAGTTGAGAACAAAACAAAGTTCAAAATCAAAAACGGGTTCTGTGACAAGTCTTCTTTGGGGTGGACGACTGACTCCTAGGGGGATGTTTGGAGCAGATTTCAGAGGGGAGGGTGCGGTGCAACTATTTTTGGGTGGTTTTCTGGCTTGGACGCCGGCTGTTGTGAGGTGGAGTAAGGTCGGAGGCTATGATGGCTGGATGGTTTTTGGCGGAGATGAGGGTGAAGAAGAAGAGGGGGTGCTAGGTTGATGTGTGCTGAAGTTTAGGGATGAATGACGGCGATGGGAATGGGGCTGGGGGTTGGTGGCGTTGGCTTCTCTTTTGGTATCCGTTGCTGATCCAGCTTAGGTCTGTCCAAGGGTTCCCCAAGAAAAAGCTAGGTACGTTCGTTTGGGGTGTCTTAAGGGTGAAAGGGTTATTAGGAAATTAGGCTTTTGTGGGTTTAAGGGTATTGGGCTCAAAAGGTGGTCCAATTTTGGACTTGAATTTAAGAGATTGGGGTTGGGTCCATGCCTTATTGGGTTTTAACTTTGAGGTAAGAAGACTAAATAAATAATGTATCTATAAAATATAAAAACCGCTCTTAATTAAAATAAGTTACTAAACTAAAACTAAATACTAAAAGTGAAACTATTTGTATTTTTTT